TGGATGTTCCGAAAAATTCTGTCCTAGAAAATTTCTATGTGAATTCTTCCGGATACTATGTGATAGTGATAAGATCAATCGATATCGATTGATTTCTTTTGTTTGAAGGACGCCATGTCTCAGTGCGCTGATCGAATGCGTTTTCAACAATGGGATTGTACCAACGTTGGGCACATAATGCATGATCCACCGATACTAAAATACGGTAAGTGCCAATTTTAGGTATTGATTAGGCGAGCTTGAGAGAGTGAATGAACTGGGTAGAATATTTGGCTCGAGTGATAGCCGGGTACCGTCGATTAGATTAATAAATGTAAGCGTAAAAAAGAGATTCCCAAAGAGGTGGTGTGCAAACTCCGCCCACTCGATCACCGCACAATGTGATCTCAAGTGTTCTTTACGGTTTTTTGGCTTTCTATCGTTACTGCTAAACTGACTACATACCCCGACGGCGTTCACTTGAAAGCCCGAAAACACTGCTCTGTTCAATCGCGGAATGTGCCTTTAAGTTTTTCCTCCTGCTTCTCCAGTTCAATCGATAAAATTCATTCTATGTTGTATTGTACAAATGCTTTCTTTTCTCTATAATTTAATAAGTTATTTACTTAATTTGCTGTGGTTGCCTACGTCCTCAAAACGTAAAACATGCGCGAGCTACCGGCTGTTGCGCAGATGAGGACCCTTTCCAGGTCGCTTGCCAGGGATGATGATGTGTAAATGTTGCAGCGAGAACGCTAGGGTGAGTGGTCGCATAAATAAGGTCCCGTCAAGCCACTAGAGTCTGTATGGGTAAAAGTATTGTAGGTGGTCTGAAAGAGAGTGGAGGAAGAAGATGACCATTTTCTTGAAAGTTATCATGTTTTCGTTTAGGATATCGGAGAATCGGCGCTTATCTGGGCGCTATCGTCGGCGGGTGCCGCGTGGGGAGTGGCAACAGCGTGTGCTCAAGGTTGGATCGACGACTGTTCTTGTGTTCACGATGGACAACCTGGTTGGGAGTACGGCGGGTAAGTCACCCAATCAATCCCTATCTGTTCTCTGTATTGACCTCAGTACTTGAATTATTGTATTTCAGTTGCTCGTACCGGACAACATGTGATCACAAGCTAGTTCGTAACTTCCTCACCAGAACGCCGATTGTCCGATCGCCGTTGAGAAGTGTGGAGAAGCACAACCTCAAAGCGGGACGTCTTGTGAGTGATGCACAACTTCTCACTATTTTGCTTAGTCCGTTGAAATTGTCACATTTTCAGGCTGTGAAAAGACTCTGATTGCTTCTTGTAAATGCCATGGGGTGTCAGGATCATGCCAACAGAAGACCTGCTGGAAGAAGACGGCCACTCTTGATCATATCGCTGATTACTTGGTTGAGAAGTGAGTCAAAGTTAGGTCACTTGACAAAGGGCTCATTCTTCACCCTGGGGATCACCCACGGATGGGACCTTTTTCCATTCCATTCTCCATACTCCACCACCGTAGCTGTTTTTATAGTATGTGATTCTGATCTGAGACCAGTCGACACACTCATCCAACTCCGTATTCGGAAGAAGACCAACAGTCACTAGAGAGTCCCCTTATCCCGTTTTCCTGACGGATTTCTCTGCTTTTTTTCGCCATTGGCGTACCATTGAGCAAACCCTCGTCCACTGTCAACCCCTCTGAAACCTACCGTAATCGCTGTCTTCAAGTTGAAATTGGGTGGAGTAGCCGACGCGCGTAGTAGGTGGAAAGCCTATTTATGGAGTGGGGAGGAGGTCGTGCTGACTCTAGAATTTCCTCGGTACCATGTCGCACCTCGTGCTGAGACTCTGAGAAAATAGTCCACATAGCCTTACGGTCTTTTAAACTTTACGAATTAGCCGTGAGAATTCGACGTTTGTGTGGCCGCATGCCTTCTTATACTGATTGAAATTTTACCTGAAACATCCTAATTTCTAGATATGCTCGTTCAAAAATGCTGTCACCTGACCACAAGGCGAAAAACGCTGACCTCGTATTCATCGAACCATCACCGGATCCATGTTTACAACTGGTATGAATGTTTACTGTCTATATATTTGTGCTTATACATACTAGCTCAATTCGAAAGTTCTCTGCCAAATCTCTTTTTTCACTAATTCTGAAATATGATGCGGCTGAGGATCTGAGGTGCGTGGTTCCGGCATGCCCTCACGCCACGTTAAGGTGGCCCGTCGAACACTTTCTTCCAAGGAGAGTTGAGCTTGGACTTGGGGACATTCGTTCTTTGCTTCCTTCACCTGACTCGTCTCGGTTCTATTTTTGTCAAGGAAGCCTGAAAAGCTGCTGATTGTCGCGGGTCTGCCCTACCCTTTATGAAGCGGAAGCCTGGTTGTATACATGAGTAGGACTTTAGGACTTGGTAGGACTTAAGTAGGATTACTGATGAATGCTTCAAAAAGAGACCTTTCGGAAGACAGGGGACAGGAGCTTGACCCTTCATTTTCCCCTTTATTAAGTCGATCTTCCCTCGAGCATTTCCTGAATAGAAAAAAGCGAAAAATATTAGACAGAGATGAGATCAGAGGCACTCCATGAAAACCCCCTTAAACTTAAAAGTGCCCACCCGATGCCTTTTTACGGAGGAGGATCGCCAGTGCTAGTCTTACCTGTAGTTCCGATGGATGATGCATCGTGTCTATGATCTCCAGGACCGGGTGTTCCGGAAAGTATTTGCAAACAGTGTTTGTCGGTAGGAACTCAGTATCAACTCAAAGATCCTGCATGGATACAACATAGTTTCATCTGTTCCATAAATCCTTGGCTTGAGAGCAGTCCTTAACGATAAGAATGGAACGAACGAAAAAATTGCTCTTGTCAGACAACAATTCGAAATAAAAACTGAGAAGTAATAATCATTCAAATTCCCGCCGACATTTGTCTAAATGTAAGCGGCGGGGTACGCCTTTCGATTGCTGCCTTGGAGTGTTGTCACTATTGAATCCCTTCTGGTCTTCTCACCTATGACAAGAATTTTTCATTTATTCTTTGAATCCTAATCTATGACGCAAAAATGTATTGTCTCTACTCTCAGATCCGGAAGTTTTGATTCGATTCCTTCTGAAGTTGCGGCCACAAAATATGCTACTCAGATGCTCATGCACGTATTTCATTCCATGCTCCCCTTGGCTCCGCCCAGGTGTCTGTGACCTGTCCACTGATCGGGTTTTTCAGAGTTTCTTTCTGGAATCTGAATTTTAATCACTGGAAGTTTGAATACTCAATTAGTCATCACACATGACGGCTCTATGCACAAATGAATTACAACAAGTTTCCGTTCACTATTCCTTTAATAACGGTATCACAAATGGTTTTGGCTCGCCGTCAAACTTTGCCGCACTATGTTGCTTGTGCTTACTTGCGGTCACCTTTTGATCGTTGTCTATTGCTGCACACAGTAGCGCGGATTTCGGGTATATCTTCCACACAATTACTCAGGACACTGAAAAAATTATTGGTTCCCAGCGCTTCCGTAATTCACAGCTGTACAACTGAGCCTAGTCCGAAAATATCTGTTTCAAATGTAATATATTCTCTGCTTTCGTTTGCTGCACCGTTTCCAACCTTTCTCTGATTTAGGCTGCGGCCTGCCACCACTTTAACAAGAGGGCATAGATGAGATAAAATTGCGATGCAACAAAGTAACACCTAAAGGCACGGGTCGCAATCAAATTGATATTTTTTTTAATTAGACAAAAACTGCGGAAAGGAACTGAACTTTTTCTTGTGGAGTCGAACGTGGCGCCGCGTAGAGACACAGCGCAGCGAGAAATGAGGAAACGCGCGAAAGCGCGTCGTACGCGATGTGCGGCGCGGAGACGCCACATATGCATTATAAAATGACACGTCGCGCCGGTGAAGAAAGGCCATCAACTCATTCGTTACGCCACTTTAAATCTCCTTCGATAAATCACCCCCCTGTAATTAAGGGTCCTGCTAGCACACTCCAGACCAGTATATTTCTGAAGGTCTAAGCGCAACCCGTGCCTTAACACCATAACTTTAGACTCGTGGATCCTCCCGCAGCGTGTGCCATTGACTTATAATTGGTGCAGGTGTGCGAAGTGATGACCACTGACGCGTGCGGTCACGGAGCAGTTTGCAAAAAAAGTTGCAGGGGCGACAAATTGTCACTGTGCTCACAATAATGTTTAATGTTTCCGTAGATACCATGAACGACCTTTCTTTCATTATGAATTCCTGAAGGCTACAGTAGCCGCACCGCGTGCGCGCGCGGACACCATCCCTGAACCTGCATGATCAATAATCGCGTGTAATTATCTTTGTGTAAACTCGATTTTGACGGGAAATATTTACAAGTGTTTCAGACAGCCGGACGAGTGTGCGCATGGCGAAACGAGACGCATACACAAGGCGATTGTTCACGATTATGTTGCGGAAAAGGATTCAAGGTCTGTATTTACGTATTTTCTGACTTACCGTGACCCAGAACGAAGGGCGTCAAAAAGTCGCGTGGCGATTTCGCAAAGTATGAACGCATTTTATTTCAGATCACACACGAAGTTCTTCATTACAAATGTGATTGTAAATTTGTATGGTGTTGTAAGTTGATATGCAAGGATTGTCTACAACATCGGTGGGTGTCGACATGCAACTGATCGTACCGCCCCTGTCCCAGAAGTCTCGCACCTGAGTCTCTGAGACTCACCCATTGTGATCTCCGTGTTATGCTTTTTTCCTGTACTCTATCGCCAAGCGTCAGTTCAGCCGGCTCGGTAAGACTCCCCCTAGCTGTCGGAGTCCATTTAAGCCTTGAGAGAAGAACTAATCGATATCTAATCTCGTTATTCGATATTTCCCAGTGTATTGATTGATTTCAGTGATTGTGTGTGTAAATTTTTTCTGAAGAAACTTCCATGTGCCTCTTGTATACGGGTCTTTCTGAATAAACACTTTTTGTTTGATTTTCGTGATTTCTTCCCCATTCTGTTGAGGAAGCTGCCTCAAGAGTACCTCAGCTCAATTTGTTCGTTGACGGGCGGTCTAACCCAGATTTGCAGCCTAACCTCGATACGATCCAATCGATCCATATCGATGAGGAACGTGGCCCATCGATCAATATCTGTGTTTGAGGGACGTATTGTTCAATTTCCGACGCCTTCGCCGTTTTTTGCATGTTCATGTCGACGAATTCAATTAAATCGCAGCGGGTCGTCGCACTGGTTCAAGGCGGCGGCTGAGGCGGAATCGGCCGGCCAGCGTCATGCCTTCATGGAGGGATCTTACCCTCTTCCCGAGGAAGGGATGGTGAGAGAATCCCTTTCAAAATAAAACAGGGAAATCCAATGAGCGAGACTACGAACCACCGAACTAGCGTCGCTATTCTTCTGTTTTAGGAATGCTTTCCGCTGCTGGACGATTGTGCCCGAGGCCCTAGAGGTCCCTGCCTTTGGGTGTATCACCCCGACGTAAGCAAACCAGCCCTTTTGGCACATCGGCTGGGACCGTATGCTGAATGTTGGGGAGGGGATGGTGTCCCCGACGGTGGACGGACAACTTCAACGCGGTCCTTAGAACCGCCACAATTTGGCGCTTACCTTAGAACTAAGCCTTAAAGAGAGGACGGGTCCGTCCCCTCTCCTAGGCTTAGTCCAAGGGTGAGCAGACCGGTCCTTCTGGCGAAGCTACTGGACCAGCTGCACCACTTGCGTCAGTACTCTCCTATCGTACCAACCGAGTTGAAGTAAACCGTCGACCGTTGGGACCCCATCCCCTCCCCAACATTCAGCATACGGTCCCAGCCGATGTCCAAAAGGGCTGGCTTGCTTACGTCTATCACACTGTTCCGGATAGGGTGACTGTTGTTATAGAAATTAATCATTTTAACGGACTCGTTGGTGCCCTGGACGAGAAAAACTTATGAGCGCTCAGTGATCAATCCGTCAGTCCAAATTGTTCCAGGGAGAAGATGGAATGCGATTTTGAGAACAGTAGTTGTAAGGTAGGCAGTATCGTTCAGATACCAATACCGCTACCCCGATGGACTATTCAGCACCACGGAGTTTAGCAGGGTTTTGGCCCCAATGCTCATGAAATCTTAAGGTTATTTGTTTCTGATAGGCCCTGAGGTGCTACTCAGGCTCTCACGAATATAGGACATGTCTCAGGGCAATGGGGTACAGATGAGGGCAGGGTTGATGGTCCCGGTAGCTCGATAAGGGTTTTTCACTGTGGAGGAATAGACTTCGAGCAGGCACACTACAGGAGAGCTGAAGTTAATCATGAGCACTCGTAGTTGAATTGTTGGTTCAAACCGGAGAAAATTTCTGTTGGCCCCTTCGTACTTTTTCATTTTTTAAATGTTTTCCATCCTCGGCTTCACTTCTTGGGTGGAAGTGGTGTAGTGACAAGTGGCGCGCTTACCACGCGAGCGGTCCGGGGATCAAATCCTGGGTCGTGAGTCGCCCGGGCCAACCAAGCCTTCCATCCCTCCGGGGTCGGTTAATTGGTACCAGACTTGTCTGGGAGGATAAAAACACTGACTTGAACATCGGCTGGCCCCCGCAAGTCATTGTATAGGCCACATCGCATTCAAATGCCACTGCGAATGTACAAATGGAAGTAGGAATGCGTTGCGCATCCCAGAAAGGGGATGTGATCAACGCGGAATGATTTATTCCAGTGTGGCTCTGGAACAAAATATTTCAACCAGATGGCTCTCACTAACAATAGGAGGAAAAGGGTAAGCTGACCATGGTTAAAGGCATGCCCCAGGATCACATTGGTGTGGCTCTTGCACACGAATGCGAATGTATTGGTGCCAAGTGGGCCGGCAGTAAAGAAAAAAGGAAAAGAATCCGTCGAAAACGCTCAGGTTAAGGGCTCACTCACCTTCCTAATCGGCTGTGCTAAAGGA